TAACGTACACCAACATGGCGGTGACGACGTCATAACTGAATGTTTCAAATGACAAAGACATGGCGGCCATGTTAGTGTACATAACAAGAGAAGCTAACGAGAAATCTTCTGTTAACGTACACCAACATGGCGGTGATGACGTCATAACTGAATGTTTCAAATGACAAAGATATGGCGGCCATGTTAGTGTACGATAACAAAAGATTCTAACGAGAAATCTTTTGTTAGACCATGCAAAAAAAAAAAAGAAAGAAAGTACATCAACATGGCGGTGACTGACATGAATAATATTAATCCTATTAATGATTATTTATATTTTCTCAGACCCAAGGGAAACCCACGAAAAAAGATTACTCAAGGACGTATTCGCGAATTACGACAAAGAAGTTCGTCCAGTATTTTACAAGAACAACACGGTTAACGTCGAGTTCAGTCTCAGCTTGATTCAAATTATATCAGTTGTAAGTTAATAAATAATGGATGCAATGGCTGAAGGAATGGAAAAGATGGGATGGGATAAGATGGAGTGAAGGAGGGAGAGAGGGAGGGAGGGAGGGAGGGAGAGAGGGATAGATTGATGAATGAATGGGATGGATGGATAAGATGGGGTAAAATGGATGAACGGGATAAAGGCGTGGATGGATGAATGAATGGATAGATAGGTGGATAGATGGATGGATGAATGGATAAATTGATAGGTTTGATGAATGAATGAATGAATGGATTAGATAAATGGATGAATAATGGGATGGGATGGGATAAAAAGAATGGATGGATGGACAAACCGTTAGGTGGCTAGGATTGATGGATAGATAAATAATATTTGAATTTGTCTTCTTCCTTAGAACAGCAAATCACAGCTGGTTACTATAAGTGTTTGGATTCGACAGGTAAGACTTGGAGGGAAGAAAACGGATGAAAGGGATGGAAGGAAATGAGAAAATGGGACAAAGGATAGAAGGAGTATCACGAAATGCAAAATTGAAAGTGGGAGGAGAGACGAAAAGGAAAAAAAGTAGTATGGAATAGAAAAGTGGGATGGAATGCAAGGTTGAAAGAGATGGGAGAACGAAAAGGGAAGGAATCCTAAAAAACCGTGCGTTCTGATTGGCTGTTTGAGCGGGCAATATTTGTCATTATCTGCCCTCGCGCCCGGTCCGGTATCCTTTGCCGCTAAACAACAAAACAACACAATTACAAAAACAAGTAAAAAAATACGAAAAAAAAAAGTTATTTACCGTCCTATAGTCGGTCCGGATAGGGAAAAACTGTGCCCTTGGTCCGTATATTCAAGACCTCGGGCACAGTTTTTCCTTACCCGGACCTCCTGGCCGGTAAATAACATATTTTAAGTGAAAAAAAAAAACCCAAAAAAACTCCAAGTATTCCCGGTTTGTGAGTCCTCAGGGTAAAGGTTAAGAGAGATAACTTGGTTCTTTCTAGACTGTCTTTCTTTGTTCCGTTGAAGAATTAGAAAACGCGCGCGCGTACTGTATGCAGCTCTAAAGCACGCGGGGACTGGCAGAACACGAAGGAATCGTTATGAGAAACAAGACGCGTAGCAGAGTGCTTTTGGACACTTCTCGAGTGTTCTGCTAATCCCCAAGTTCACAGCACAGCATGCAAGTTTTTTTTCTTTCATAAAATACAAATAGCAATAACCGTTATTTTAGATAAGAATGACGTAACTGAAAGTGTGCTCTGATCTCACGCGCTCTCAACCAATCAGAACGCGAGATTTATAACAGTTATTTTATAATTATACTTATACTTGAAAACAGAAATGGAAGAATCCGATGTTAGCATGGAACGAGTCTCACTACGGTGGAATCAAGTTGGTCAATATCAACCCTGAAAAAGTGTGGATACCAGATATTATCCTCTATGATAAGTAAGTCTTATTACGTGACGAGTTTCAAGACTGGGTTTCATTGGTTCATTCACCGTTCTCATAGTGCAGTTTTCGTATGACTGTGAAAAATTCACGTCACGAACACGGTCGTGACACAGCAAGGGATACGCCAAACGAATCACATTGCACGAGAATTTACTCTCCATCCAATCAAATGCCTGTAACACGGCATAAACACGGCGCGGACACGGTCACGCAAAGGTCACGGCGATGCCAGACCAACCACAATCACTATTATAAGAAAAAGATTTGAAACTTTCTCATACCAATCTCCTTGACTTTCAGCGCGGACGAAACCTACGCAGGTGGACTGGAAAAGTACAAAACAGCAGTGATATTAAAAAGCGATGGCACGAACGAGTGGTTCTCGCCAGCTTCATTCAGGAGCACTTGTACCATCAATGTTAAATACTTTCCGTTTGACAGTCAAAACTGTCCTTTAAAATTTGGCTCATGGACTTATGGGGGAGACCGCTTGTCAATGACATCGTCGTCCAATTCAGCCGACCTAAAGAGTTACGTCAATAACGGAGAATGGCATCTGATTAAAATGACCGCCAAACGTAACAAGGTTTTCTACAACTGTTGCAAATACCCCTTCTATGACGTCACATATAATCTCATAATCAAACGAAAACCGCTGTACTATGTGTTCAACCTGATTCTCCCCTGTGCTTTGATCGCGACGTTAACCCTGATCAAATTTTTCCTCCCGCCAGAGTCAGGCGAGAAGGTGGGTCTAGGAATCACCGTCCTCTTGGCTATGACCGTGTTTCTTCTCCTTGTAGCAGAGACTTTACCCTCCACGTCAGATAACATTCCCTTATTAGGGCAATACTTTGTAGTGACGATGTTTGTTACTGCGATTGCACTGATCGCTACGTGTTTGATTTTGAATTTCTTTCACCGTAACCCAGCAACGTCGCCAATGCCTCGATGGGTCAAGGTCATCATCCTTGGTTACATGGCCCGGGTATTCTGCTTCGGGGTTATGAAGGAAGAAGAAAGTAAAGTCAGCCCCAAGAAGAAAAAAAGGATTGAGTTTGATATAACGGGACCTGAAGGACTTACGATGGACGACTTGGCGAGTCTACGAGGAGAATTTGAGAGTCCGCGATCGGCGCGATTCACACGAGGGGATTCATTAGCCTATGCCAGCGGTCGTAGCACTCCGTGCAGGCGCAGTACAAGCATGATGAGTACATACACCCAACTAAATCCTCTAACTGAACGGCTATTGGAGGATATTAATGTACTTGCTGATGACGTCAGGGATAAGCAGGAAGACGAGAGGCTGAGAGAAGAATGGCGATGTGCAGCTCTGGTTCTTGATCGTATGTTTTTTTGGATCATGTTGGTAGTATCTTTGCTCTGCTCGTTCTTGATATTCTACCGCGAACCTGTTATGGAGGGTTGATGAACTTGAAATATGGAAGAACGATTTGTGATAATTTGGATCCCTGTTCGTTGAGGATAAGCCAATTCAGCAGTACGTTTATTGGAGGAGTTTTCTTCAAAGGCAAGACCGGCAGAATAATTCTAGTATAAGGATACGAGATTTGGGAAGACTGGACAAAAGCGACCTTGAAGATTTTTGCATAATTCCTGGGAAGTTTTTTACACATAGTTCTTGAATGTCAATTCTTGTTTTAAAGTCAAACTAACGTTTTGTGAGACAAGATTCTCCCTTCATTGGGTCGAACTGGTTTCAGTTATTTTGATTGGTTCTCAGGAAATGACGTCAACCTTCAAATGACGTCACTAATCCAAAATAACGTCACACCTTTCACTGTCGCTGTTCCTAATAATTCCGTTAACAACATACCCATTGCTAGAGAGGATGCATTTTAGAAGAGGTCCCAATGATGAACTGTGTGGAACACCTTTATGGAATTAAATTCACTATGGAATGGATTGAAATTGGGTTCTATGGAATTGAAACTTTGAAATTTCTTGAACTTTTGTAAGATACTAGAGACATTTTGACAATTTTTTATCGACACTTTATATAGATTTAGAATTTCAACTAAGTTCAGTTAACTTATTAAATAAATATCGCATTTGACGAGGCCAACAATCTGACTAAAAGCATAAACATTTGGTTTAAAAAAAAACAAAATCCAAGATTAGCGACAAGAAAAACAGAAATCACGTGATATGTGACAGCACCAACACCCGGCCTAATGCTATATCCACGCCTCCATATCAAGATGGTTTAAAGTCTGTTAAAATTCTTGGGACGAATTTGCTGCAGTTAGAAAATTCTTTTAAGTTCCACAGATTTTTCAGTAATTTTTTCCTACAAATTTCAAAATTCTATTTTCTATGCTGTAAGCAGTTATACGCCGAATCGAAATATGACGACCATTTTGAATAACTGTTGTTCTGAATTGACTAGCGACTTACTAGCCTCGTGTTAACATGGAAATATAAAAGCATTTTCACATGTATGGGAGGCTAGTCAGTCGCTGGTCAGTAGAGAACAACAGTTAGTCAAATTAGTCGCATATTTTGATTCGGTGTCTTATAACGTTGATATCGGATAGTACCCATAAATCTTTGCGTGGGTGTATACTTATAAACCATCACTGTTAGATCAGCATGCATCACGGCCTCAGCAGCAAAAAATTTATCACGTGACGCGCGGAAATTTGCATGACCGTGAATCAGTACTGCTAGCAAAGGATTATGGGAAGCGAGGCAATACTATCAAGATATACCTATTGCTTTACAGATAGCGAGTTTTTATTTCGATTATTATTAGTAATAATTACTATTGTCAATAAAAAGAGAAACAGTTTCCTGTCATATAATGCGCATTTATGATGTACGAAGATGTGCGAAAAAATGTCGAATAAACGAAGAGTGCGGAAACYATAAAACGAAAAGGACACGAACGACTGACGAACTAAAGACGAACTGCTCACGAACGAGAGATAAAGAGACGACATGTTTATGACAACTAAAATGGATCAATATTAAAATACGTAAACACAGACGGAAAGAAACGCGAACCAGAAAAAATACCGGAAAGTAAACGAGCTAAATGAAGGGTTTGTTGAATGAAGGGTTTGACGAATTAAGGATAAGTCGAATGAAGAATTTGTCGAATGAAGGATTTGACGAATGATGGATTTGTCGAATGAAGGATTTGTCGAATGAAGGATTTGACGAATGAAGGATTTGACGAATGAAGGATTTGACGAACGAAGGATTTGACGAACGAAGGATTTGTCGAATGAAGGATTTGTCGAATGAAGGATTTGTCGAATGAAGGATTT